ATGCATTATTGTCAAGACAAAGAATAATTGCGTAGATAAAGGCCGACAATAATCATGAGAATGTTTTCTGTATCATAATCGTGGGAACATTGTAAATAGAAACCAATGATAAATTTAAATGCACGTGTCGCACATCTGCAATTAACACACACCCGTTTATTATCAACTTTTCTTTCGTACGATCTGTCGTTGAAGTAGACTCGAGNAAAAGACCGACTTATATAGAAATATTAAAAAGAACGACCTATACGATTTTATTTATTTTTATTNTTTATTTAATTTTGCGGCAATATTTGTTACAATAATTTGTATATATATAATAATTTTGTATACTTTTGAAACTTATTTTATATTATTTAAATAATACTAAATTTACGATTTTATACTTTTTTCCTACCAAATTTCGAGTTAATAAATATTTCCGAATTTAGACTTTTTTCTCAAAATTAACTATGCTACTAGTTCGCTTTGATCCTTTTCGTCCCGACGTCTTGTATCTGTTCGAACTGGNAGCTGGCGCTACCACTTCTTCGTTGTTCGGCGCGGTGATTCGGTCGGGACTCTCTTCCATAAGTTCTCCAGCTGGTGTTTCCGTCGACTCGCCCGACTCGCCCGAGTCGGCGGGCTTGCCCTTCGGCGGCAAATACTTCTTACCGTGGAAGAAAGGCCCGTANGGATGATGGAATGGAAAACCAATCAGAAAAGGATCGGCATAGAACGGATAACCAACGTGGCCAACCCCGACCACAGGGCCGCCCTTGAATACTCCGTGATAATGGGGNAACGGNAAAGGACCGTGGAAAGGNCCTACGATGGGTTTCAGAAAAGGCGGCCCGTAAAANTGCGGATACCCGTTTTTTGTCGAGTTGTTCTGATCACCATTCTCGGCCGACTCTTCGGTTTGTCTACTACTAGTCCCACCATTATTATTATTATTATTATTGTTGTTGTTGTTGCCGTTGTAACCATAACTAGGACCATAAGGATGTCCGTAAAAACCGGGACCGCCGTGATAAGGTCCATAACTGTTGCCGTAACTGTAATGTTCGTTTCTTCCGTTTCCGGAATCGTTACCGTTTCTCCCGTACGGTCCGTAAAAGGGATCGTGGCCGTATCCCCCGTAAGGAAAAGGATGACCGTAGCCATAATTGCCAAAAGNTGGACCGTAATGACGATTGGTTCCGTTTTCTAATCGCGCATTCTCTTCCGAAGACGATTCGCCAGAACCGTCATCTCCATATGGATGATGATGATGATGATGAAAATGTCCATAAGGTCCAAATCCGTGAAAGCCACCATAAGGTTTGGCTAAGAAGGGACCGTAGGGGAAAGCAGCTTTGTGAAAATCAGCGCCGTGATACAAAGGATACAGACTGGTAGACGATCCTTCAATATTGCGTATTGACGGATCGATATTTTCGTTATTAGCAGATTTCGAAGCAACTTCCAGATTGTCCTTGCTCGTCGAAAAGTCGTAAGATTTGTAGTAGTTCGGTTGTTCGCGCCGCAAGTAGGATTCATCTCGCGAGAAAGAATCTTGAAGCTGTCTGTTTCTTTCAGATACCTCGAGTTCTTCGGGAGGGTTTCCATAGAGATCGTTGTAAGANTACGAGTTTGGTTCGTAGTAAGCGGCTTCGTTCGGCGTTTTGTCGACTATATTGTTTAGAATCGAATGCGAATCCAGATTGTCGTCGTTCAAAGTAACGGGTTCCGTTTGAAAAGATTGGAAGGATCGATTGTTGCGGGATTGCAGCTCGCCCAATATTACTGGCNACAGCACCGAAGCTACATTCTTAGCGAAATTCGCCAATATTTCTGGATCTGTGGGGGAAAAAATCTTAATGAGTGATGACACAATTTGTAACAGGTATGTGTGAAAATTAAATAATTTTTCTTTCAAAGTTAATTATCCAGACAATCAAAATTCGCTTACTGACGGTGGTTCTTGCTGTCTTCCCGCTACTTATAACGCACCAGAGTGCGACGCAGCGCATCAGTATCTGCAACTGAGAAGCATTGTATTGTACTGTATAATTCTACAAAACAAGTTTTAGACACATTGCAAANATTTGAATATTTTTTTGTTAAATTTATGTTATTACATGTTGCGATAAAAATTATTTTTCATATGTAAAATGAAAATATTTGTGATAAATGAATTACTGACAACGTTCTCTCGAGATTTTTCGCAAAAAGAGCTGCGTAATAAACGATGACATGGGTAGCGTGACCGGCACGAGAAAGATCTCTCGTAGCATTATGTTTTATTTGTCATTGCGTAAGGAGAGACGCGTATGCACATAAATTCGATGCGATCAACGCACTGTTTCTGCAACGGGTGCTGGTTGTGCAAAATCCCAGCGAAAAGAAACACACGCGCGCGCGNAAATATCAGTTCTGGAGACACGCTTATTACCTTGTCTCCTCACGTGGAACTCTCGATTCTTATAATAATAGAATTGATTCGCGATCTGTGTGCGGTCACGCCGATTGCATTTTCGCGAGGTATAGGACGTCGCCGTCGCGAAGAAACGCTATTCTTCGGNCGCGTACGGAGCTTCCGGCTAACAAAAACGTTACTTTATCGTTGCGGATATAATTTTGCAACGTAACGAAAAGAACTATCGGTATTGCCCAAAAAAGTTTGCTTAAGAAAAAAAGTTTCACACACATAAACTTTTTAATTTTAATGTTTTTAGAGGAATTTCATACAGCGCGAGGAGAAATTCAGAGTAACGGAACTCGTAATTGAAGATTTTCTTTTCATTTATATAAGAAACACTTGTAAGTTATTGTTACGTTAGAGTTATATATATATACGGATGCCTGACCATCTATTTAAGTCTTGTCTCTTACTTGTAATTATTTTTATAAAATATGTACTTGTCTACATATGTATAACTCAAAGACGCTTTCTAATGTTGGTAGTGTAGATACGTAAATACTTTTTTTCTTCCTCCTGTCTTATATAAAAATCTACATTAAAAGGATATAACATATTTTATATATTCTGTATATTTTTTTACTACATTCTGTATATTTTTTTTAATTATATTTTTTTATTACTTTATTACACGTTACTTTTGCTTTATCTTATAATAAAAACATTATAATACTTGATAATAAACTATGTGTTTTGCAGCGTTCTTAATAAACGATATTTTGCGTAAATAAATTTGTTTGTGTGAGAAATCTACTGNTTATGTTATTAAATTATACACTGAAATTAATTCACGATTTACAATCGATTTNCAGTCTGCAATTCTTGCAATCTTAGCATTGCCGACGGAATAAATGCGCACGGAATTTACTAGACAAGTAAAAGAGAAAATGTTTAAACACAAGCAATTAAAAAGGCATAAAATAATATTCTGCGATTTGACACTTTACACTGATCTGCACGCTGTGTCGTCAAGTTTTGTNTGTTTATAAATTATTACGTTATAAACGACCGGTTTCAACGACGATATCGTTACGAAACTGCAAATCTTTCTGCTTTTTCCTGTATTACGAACGACTTTTACATGCGAGGATACTCACGTGGGACGCGTGATGCATCGTGCGTGCGGTTTGTGACAACTAAGGGATAGACATTGTGTCCGATGTCATTTATACTTTCTCTCCTAAAACATCTTTACCCCTCACCGANTGAATTGACAAGGCGTAAAGGGTAGATCGCGAAATCGCAGACCGTACATTTCCTGATCTCTCGAAATTGAAATAACTTAATCACAAACAGTATAGATTTAGCAATTCTATCATTTTCACACATATAAAATATCGAATGTCTATAGTTATTAATGTTTATATATCGTGTGTTTTTGCATTCTACATTTATTAAAATAATGACATACAATATTCGAAGAGCACTTGATAAAATAATACAAATACGTAAAATGTTGCAATAAATTAATATAAATACGTAAAATAATGTAAATACATAACTGTGTCAGTCTCTAAGTAAATCTACAGATAATTAAGATAATTATAAGTAATAATATTATTACCTGCAATTATATAATTTAGATCATTTACTCAAAAGCGATCATGCACTTTGTTTCAACTCAAAAGCATATCAAACTCGCATATTTAATAATATCTTATTTTTTTTTATTCTACATTAATTTATATTAATTGATAATATTGAGATTGCATAACAGAGTGTGTGATTTCTTCNACNTATATTCTCTCTCAAAACCTTTATGACGAGAAAACGAAGTTTGTGTGTGATGTAANATGGCTGATATCTATGAAGAGGTCATCGTGACTTTTTCTTAGAGTAGATTAATAACCGATCTGACTAATNGTGCCGACGATACCCGGGGCGATGACTCCGGGAAGATTGTAAATTTGCACAGGTTGAGGTGTAATTCNCTCTAAACGATTTGCTCGAAGATTCGGTGTGATAATTACTGGCCGTTCAGTGTTGCTCAAAATGTTGAATTGTCTGGCCTCAGGTTGAACATTGGCTCGCACGTATCCNGGATATTTCGCAAGCATTCCGCTCACGCTTCCGTACGGAATTCCACCTGTTGAATGACGTCATCAATACTTATATTACATTACACCAAAAAACTATTAATAAAAAGTGATTCTGGCCAATAAAATATTTTTCTTNCTTATATAAATAACGATGATGTTGTCTATACGATGCGTGTTGACATTTTGTTTTAATATTATTTTATGTGCTTGTGTACTTTTTGATTAATTTTGATGTAGTTGACAATATTAATTGGTATGTATTTTAATTATTGTATTAATATTTTCATATTTTATTATATATACAGATCTTATGTTATATATAGCAAATCACTGAATATAATCATTCTCATCCGTGAAATAAGATGCAAAGAATAATCATTAGTGCTGCTTTCTGTTGGTGCTTAGTTTGAATCAAAAGTGCAAGACAATATATAAAATATTTTATTTAATTTTAAATTAATTTTATTAAACTATATGTATATACATACATATGTAATATACAAAATTATATAAATAAAATAACAAATTGTTTTATAATTTTGATTATATTTGTTATCGAAAAGAAGAAGTCTGTCTTACCGTATGCCAATCCGTTTACCATTTCCACCATTCCTGCGCTGTCTGGTGCAGCTGCCGATAATTTCACCAATGTNACAAATCCAAACAATAAAATAATCTATAGGGAAAATTAAAATATTTTATATAATATCATATATAATTCACTTATATTTTTATAAATATAATTTGCAACATATATCAAAAGAAATAATATATGTCATACATCACAATTTTATTTACTGTATTTTATATATATATATATATGAAATATAATAAGTTTATTTATTTTGTTAACAAACCATCATTTAAAGAAGATACTGTATTTTATATATATATATATATATGAAATATAATAAGTTTATTTATTTTGTTAACAAACCATCATTTAAAGAAAATAAATGTTTTTATTTCAGTAAACAAAAGTAAGGTACTAATTATATACAGTCAAACCTCGATAACTCGAACCTCGATAACTCGAACCTTTATAACTCGAAAACCTCTATAAGACGAAAATTTGGTTCATTTCCTTCTGCTCGGCGGAAAGGAAAAAAGAACTTCGATAAGTCGAAACCTCTACAACTCGAAGATTTGAGCTCTTCTCTTGAGATTTGAGTCATCGAGGTGTTTGACTGTATATGCTATTAAATTCTTTATAGTCGATACATTCCATTTTCATGTATATAATTACACGGAATCTTTCTCTCTTTCTGACACATCGATGTCCTTCCTGACGAAACCACCCTCACACAATTACTGTGTTTAACTATCGGTTATATAAAAGAGAATCGCGTGTTTCACATACCTTGGCGAGNGACAGCATGTTATCGTTTCCAGCGGATCACAATGTTTGTCAGATACGTGTTTAGGTTTAACTAGAATATAATATAGCAAAGTACGAATTATATAGTCGTTGCGTAGCGGAGCGCGTTTTAACGTTGGCCAATCGTAGACTGGTGTTTCCTTTCGATCGTGCTAGAATTTTATCAAAGTGTGCTGTGTTGAGAATATCTCGTGGGGCGCGTCACCTTGGGACACCTTAACCTTGGATCGCGTAGCCAGCGACCGCTCACATCTCGGCGAGTCTCTCTTAGTCTGAGTCCCCTATCTCGCGCTCCAAGGACCAATAATTTCCTCGGCGAATGCCGAGGTTTTTCTTAATGTTACTTGTTTTTAAACGAGGCTGACGAGATATGTCCTCGTCAAATGACGACGATGTCCTTTTGGATTGGAAATAATCGCGTTAATAAATAAGAACACAAATTACAAACAAGAGCGTTTATATTTGATCGGTGAGCGGGCTGTTATCAAAATCACTTACGGATGAATACTGACACTTAAAGATAAAAAAAAACGTAAGTGAATAAAATTTAAAAAAGATATACTTTATAGCATTTTATAAGAAAAAGATAATTAATTGTGCTTAATTAACTTAATCGGTACAAAATTTATTGTGGNCTGGAAGATATTTTATGCACAAAAGAATAATACATTGCGACGTTATCTCCGTGTCGTTATCTGCATCGTAACGTATGTACGTCGTACACGCGAATGCTTGTTTTGTAAAGAGCATAAACCAGAAATCTTAAACTGCATTCGCGTGTGTATAATTTATTTGACAACGNCGCATTACTCATAACAGATATTCATCATGCCTGCTTGAGCGATTGATACCTTTTCCTCGTCGAACCAACGAGATTGGCGCACCTTTCCTTCATGGTGCAGTATTTCATTATTGTAAGGCGAGACGCGTAGACTTTTTTTTCTCTATCTCCATTATTGTAAGGCGAGACGCGTAGACTTTTTTTTCTCTATCTCTCTCTAACTAAATTAATCGTTCGTACACGTGATCTATCTAAAAATGGATCAATTACGCGTCTCGAGTAGTCTCATGCTTAAAATAGCTCTTGAAACACAAGATGTCTTAAAGTTTTGCGTAAGGTAAAACAACACGCAACGAAAGGAAAGATCAATTTATTGATATTTTGCCAATATAAGTTTTTAATTAATTAATNTACTTTTTATTAATTATTTTTATTCAGCGTAAAATAACTGTTGCTTTCGTGTTGCGAGAATCAGTTCAAGGGTATGTGGGTATTCTTTAAAGAAGGTCTCCAATTACATAACAAGGTTAATAATCTAGTTCAATAGAGCACGGCGATTAATATGACGAAAAATACTCGTTAACGAAGTTATTTCGGTCAAACAGAAGAGAGAAAGCGATGAAAAGAATAGTAGTTATCTAAAAAACATTCGCTCGTCTCAATTATCGTCTTAATTATTATTAAAGTAATTATTATTTAATAATCAGTTATAATCAATGATTTTTTGATACGTATATATAATAAATATTGTTTTTAACGAGAGAAATCATAAATAGATGTGTATTATAAACTTTCTATTATACTTTAAAAAAAAAACNTCGCCATTATTATCGGTGCATTATGAATGCAGTGAATAGAACACTTCCATTCCTAATAGGATTGCTTGTGTCTTAGAGGTCGGGAGATACAATTTCTCCAAAGGTTTGCATAATTCCTTAACGGCAGGCGTGGGTCGCGCGAGAGTTGCGCTAACAAAAGAATGAATTACCGCTGCTACACGTTTAAGAACGGCATTATGCAATCTCTTTCTACAAGATTTATTTGTAACAAAAATGTTCTGAAAACTATGTACAACAACGTAATTACTGAACAGAAAAAACTATTACAACACCTCTGTACGGTTAATCACGATTAATCGTCCATATCTAAATTTCGCTTTCTCTGGTACAAAAAAAAAANAATAATAATTAGCTACGACTACAACAAGCAAATAAATAGAAAAACACCTAAGATAAAAATTAAAATTGTATGTGTTGCAACAAGTACGAAAATAAATTGTGTGTTTACTTTCTTGTGGTAAAACGAAAAAAAGTAGATAGAAAATTATTTACGCTCAATGTAATAATATAATCTGCGTTCCGGATTCTTTATAAATTTATTCTGTAATAAGGACCTTCGTTTTTCTTCCGCTTCTTTTTCGTTTTCGTCCATTTCCTCGTTGCTTTGCTTCTTCCAATCCTCGTTCGTATTTGATTCGCTTTCAGTTCTCTCGGTAGTCTGATCGCTTCTTGGTCGATTCGATGAAATATTCTGCAATAGGTCTTTTATTGCGTAGGCCTGAAACTATTAATTCAATTTAATTATGTATAAATTATGTGTACTTTATATTTAATATAATTTATGGGAATTTTTATGACATTGCTTCCGTAAAAATTGCTTTCTTTTTTGATTAACAATTTTTGTACGTAGGTATAATGTACGCTTACAAATTTTTCAGATTTTGTAAATATAAGTAATAANAATTTTTTAAATATTTTGTGTTATAATATATTATTGGCAATAAAATGTTCTTATTTGTTTCTCGTGCAAAAGATGTATTTTATTTGAACGAATAAAAGAAAAATAAACTCGTGCCTTAATAATCGTAATTCTTTGAAATCCAAGACATAGCAGACATTATCTTGGAACCATAATGGGTCAGCTCAACCGTCCTGTGGTCTGGTGACAAACTTACTTCTGACATTATTCCGAAATCATTGGTATTATTGTTCTCATCGTTAATATTCTCGTCGTTTAAATCATTTATCTGCTTCTCCGGTTCTTGTTGCGCTCCAAAATTNTTTCGAACTTGAGGTTTTTCCGATATTATCACTTTTTGAGTTTCATCTTTGTTTGCAAATTTGGTATTGAAATTTTCTCGCTCGTTTTCTCTCTGTTTCATTAATTTTTCTGCGTTATTTGAATTGTTATTATTATCATATTTCTTGTCATCGTCCCGTTTATTCTTCTTCCTGCGTCTTGCTTTAGGTTTTATATTTTCTTCTTCTCGTTTTTGAGCTAACGTCTCATTTATCTTCGAATTAAAGTCATCCGCTTCGTTTGGATAAGTTGTTTTTGTAACAATTTTTTGTTTCGTGACTCTCGATCGATGTTCGATTGTTCGTGTTTTTGGAGTCGATGTTTTNNCTCGAAGACGATCGAATTTAGTTGTTTCAGGTACGGTAATGGTTTCCTTAAAAGGATCCAACTCATTTGTCTTTGCGACCTCACCTGTCCTCGTATATCTTCCTCGAACGGGTATGAAAAATGATTTGCTCGCGGCAAGGTCTGTCCTCGTCAAAGGCGTAGCTGACATTATTGGCGTCGTTGTTGTCGTCGTCGACACTTGTGATTTTCTACGTCTTTTTGCGGTAAGTTCGACAACAGATTCGGCAGCCGCATTATCCAGGGAAATTGTGGAATTGTTCCTGAGTGGTTTTCGTCGACGTTTCTTGCGTTGCGTAGTTGTTGCCGGAATTTCCTCCGTGCTGTTGAATAACTCACTTGACTGGTTGATCGTTGTTGTTGTTTCTATTTGCATCTCCGTATCATTGACATTATTTTTNCGTAACTTGAAATATTCATCTTNGTTTGTTTCATCGCCGACCTTTTTGTTTTCCACTTTTTTCGAATCCAAATCCGAATTGTCCGTCACGTTCTTGGCGGGTTGAGGGATTTTTCTTCGTTTTTTATCTTTTTTTCTGGGCGGTTGTGTAATGTCTTCTGGCACGAGTGTCCCTCTGGAGATTCCTTTGTCCGTNGAAGACGACGAGTTTTTCTCTACCGAAGAATGATCGTCTTTAAATTTCTTTGAAGCTTCTTCGTTGAAATCATCTTCTTCCAGAACCTTCTGGATGGATCTGCTGATTTCTCGCGCGGAAGAAGATTTTACCGGTCGTATATTTCTTGAGTGATATTTGTTACTGTTAAATCTGGCGGTTGGCAGCACCTGCTCCGTTGTGTATTCTTCGCTATTGCCGTCTATATTTCTGCGCGAAAAATCGCGCGAAATGTCTCGCAAGTTATCGCGTCTATTATTCCTCACACGAGACTTGGAAGGTACGTCGTATATTTCCCAAGCATAAGCGGGTCTTCCATGTTTCGTATGTTCTTTCTCATTATCTTCGTCGTCATCGTCGAAAATCATCTTTCTAAATCTGTTGGCTCGCTTNTCTTTGTTTCGTCGTTCTCTCGCAAGTCTTTCTCTTCTCTCCCACGGATACTCGAATCTGTCAAAATTTTGCAGCCATCTAAGTTTGCTCTCTTTCCGTTCCTTATCAGCGTGCCAAGGAAACACGTAATCCTCGCTCGTCTCCTCGCTCGTCTCCTTCGTCTCATCCTCGTCGCTTTCGTCGGTTTTCACTTTTGATTTGTATCTCGAAAACGGAAAAGAAGAATAGAAGGTTTTCTCAGTACTTTCATCGTCGTGTTCGGCCGACGATGGTCGCTTTGNGTACGTGAAAAACGTCTTTTTATCCGAACCTTCTTCTCCTTCCTTCGAAGCAACTTCCTCGGAATCGTCGTCTTGTGCTGACGATTTGATTGTNTTCATCGGCGTTTCGACTTGCTCTTCAACTTTCTCCGAAGAATCTTCGTTCGACAAACTTGACTCGGTTTTGGGATAATTCATCTCCTCGTTTCGCTCATCTTCCCGATCCTCGTGATCCACGTTGGCTCGATATCTGTTCGACGACGTTGTCGTTTCTTCAGAAAACGTTTCTTCGTATCCCGGTGGATTGGATTCCAAATATTCTCGCAAGTCTAAGACGTTCTTCGAATTTGACGTCGATTTTGTCGTTGTCGGGGAAGCGTCCTCATCGACATCCTCGTGAACTTTATAAGCATTCGTCGTTTCCTCCGTCTCTTCTTCGGCGCTCTTCTTTTCAGATTTCGTATCGACAGTGCTCTCAGCGTTTCCCGGCACTCGATATTCCTCCTCGTTGCGATAGATCGTGTGATACACAACGGATTCTTCCGCGCGATAAATCTCGGTCGTGCTGGTTTTTCCATCTTCTGTCAGTAACGGCGCATTTTTCATCATCGAAGCGCTATCGTCCGAATTCAACGTCGTGTAATTATTTTCGTCATCAATCG